GCTGCTCTGCCCTGGTCTCTACAGGTTCTGTGCCATCACATGACACAGCAGTTACTATGGAGATGATCGGTCATGAGTGGACTGTCCACAAGTTGAACTTGCATCTGACAAGTCAAATTTGTCAGTTTGGGGGAAAAGTAAAGAGGGTTACTATTTTTTCCTTGGCTCCTGATGATGCTATCTTTCCCTTTCCAGCTGGGTAGACTTTTTCCATATTGTGATTATGAGCTGAAGAAAGATCGCTTTATTCTCTCTTGTGTACTATAACGTCCACTAGAAATTTACGTAGCTGGCACCAATGGTGCTCCATGGTAATTTCTGGATAAAACAAAACATCCTGCAGTTCAACTATAGACCTAAACGTGGGGCACCAACCATAGACGTGCCTCTTCTGTGAAGGGAATGGCATGCCAATGACTGGGCTTTCTCTGCAACAGGTATATTTCATTCCTTCATTGGCATGGACTGCCCTTCCAGCACATTCTGATAGTCATGTGTGTGTACACATGTGCATGAGTATGTGCACCACTTCCCTTTGTCCCTCAGCAGGGGGACTTTAACAGACTGGCTTTATTAGATTAAAAGTGGAACATCCATTTAATAAGGGCCACCCCCTCAAGTCAACCATGGAGCCAGACGAAGAAGGGAGAGGCAGGCTGCCTGTGCAGCCCTAGAAGGGCATCAGCTGGCTTTGAGGGGAGGGTGGGAAAGGAGGCTCCTTTGCACTGCATGAGCCTCTCTCCTCGTTCAAAACATTCTTGTTTCCCCAAGGATGTTAGATTTAGCTCCCAACCAGGCCTAAGGTTATAGGAACAGTCTCCTGTCAATACTGGATGACCTTACCTGAAAGGAGCCCCAAGTCTGAGCACTACCACTTGGTGTGGGTGCAGCTCTTAGACCTGGCCGACACCTGCTAAGGCCTCCATCTCAGATAAATGGCTCCTCACTTTAAAGTCTTCTTAAACTGCCAAATAAGCCCAGGCCTGAACTGGGAAGGTGGATTCTGGGGATGGGGCCAGAGGAAGACTTCAGTGTGGGTGGCAAGGGTGCATCTGGATCCAGCGCTGCCCCCTCCCCTGTTAGCTATAGGGGCCAACAGAGCCCCTTAGTAATTCCATCAGCAGCAGGAGAGGATCCAGCAGGCACAGCCGCTCTGCCCTGGGCCATCCAGCTGCAGGGCCCTGAAGAGCAAACCAGGAGCGGTTCCTCCCGAAGCATCAGCAGGGACGTGAAGAACGCGATTTGGCTCTGCGACCCCCAGACAGACCCACTTCATCTGAGCCCGGCTGACCTGACTCGCGTGAGCTCTTTTTCATTCTCAGCCTCAGATTAACACTGGAAACCTCTACTTCCCCAACAGTAGGTTAAAAAGTCACCATTGGGATTTTCTCTGGTCAAGGATAGAAGGAATCTTGCTTAAGACTTTGATCTGGGAAATGGTAAAGAAACAAAACAAAAAAAACCATACAACTACAGGCATCTGCCTTTTCCTTCCTTTTTAACAGCTAAGGTGGGAGACTCCTTGTGTTCAGCAGAGCACATCAATACGTCTGGGGATACGGGCAGCAAGGCCTGGGGCTCAGAGAGACCCATGTCTATTGATAATCTGCTCTGCGTGGAAAAGGACCAGAACTGGGTCATGGAAGCTGGGAGCCAGGGGAGAGAAGGAGGGAGGAAGGGAGCTGGAGGCTGGTACCTAGGCAGGATTACCAGGGACAGTGTGGCAGGGAACAGGGACAGTTAGTTTCTTCTTGTGTATTTTCCAGTAACTCACCCAGCACCTCTGGCCGCAAGGGAGGACCCCAACTGAGGCTGGACTGTCCTGCTCCTCCTCCTCCTGGGTGTAGGACCAGGCCTGGAAGGGGACAGGGAACCAAGCTCCCTGGGCCTGCAAGGGTCTGACAAGCCTTCCCCACTGGGCATCTGCCTTGGGCAGCTGCCTGTGGACAGCAGGGGTGGGCACTGGTCACCTCACCTGCTGCAGCTCCCACAGCCGGGACCTGAGGCAAGTGGCTCAGGAGATGACTGTCCATGACACGTCCTGTGCTCAGTCTGGCCAGTGGGTGGCCTGGATTCAGTATGTGGGCCACAGGGTCCACCCTTCTCACGGCCCCAGCCCTCAGTGGCAGCCTTCGTGCCAGGTCCTGCAGTCAGACTGCGAGGTCCCAGCAGCGCCAGCCTGAGCTGGGGTCCTCCTGAGGCTAGAGGTGTCAGGTGAGTTACAGGGGATAAGTGGGGGCAAGTGGCTTCAGCTTAGAGGGATGTGCATTGCCAGAGGCTGCCACGTGTGCTCCATGAGGGCCCTGAGGCCACCAGGTATAACTGGGCAGTCCCCTCCCTGCCTGGGACTCTGCATTCTAAGGCTGCCCTTGGCCATGCCCTTGGTGACCAAGGGGCCCATGTGGGAATGATGATCAGAGGACTGTTCCTCTTTGTAAGGCCACCCCTGCATGATGGCCAGGCCCTGCTGATGGTGTGTGGATGTACATGGACGCATGAGTGTTAGTGTGCCTGTACATGCATAGATATGTCTGACTGTGTGTGTGTATCTGTGTACATGTGTAAATGTGTGTGTCTGTATATTATGTGTCTATACATGAGTATGAGTTTCTGTATGTGAACGTGTGTCTATACATGTGTGTACATGATATCTTGTGCACACGTGTGTGAATATATGTACACATGTGTGTGCATACATGTCTTTGTGACATGTGTACACTGATGTGCATGTCTGTGTATGAATATGTGCTGTGTGTACATTTGTGTGTATATGTGTGAAGTGCATGTCAGTGTGTGTGTACATGTAGAAGTGTGGCCGTGGTGAGAGGTGAGTGGGGCTGGGCCCCGCTCTCTGGGTCAGTTCGGGAAGCTTTGGGCTTGTTGCTGGTCAGAGTGCTCACACCCCATGTCCTTAGCTGGGGCCCAGCCTGCCTCTCTCAGCTGAAATCACAGGATCTTGGGCTGCTCTGGGCTATCAGGGGCTCTTAAATTGGTAGAGGAAGTACTGTGTTTCAGACCTGAAACTCAGCCCTCGCCCAGGTGAGCAGACACTTAAGAATGTGGCTGTCAGCAGCCCCTGAGCTCAGTGGGCTGAGAAGAAGCCTAGAGTCTCCCCAGGTCCCCTTTACCTGTTCTGAGCCTGTCACAGATGCATTACCTCTCAATCTCCCAACTGCCCTGTAGATTGGCAACATTAGCCCATTTTATAGATACGGAAATGGGAACCCAGAGGCATGAAGCTAGGTCCCACACAGGTGTGCAACCCAGCAGGGGTCTGACCTGGGCTGGGGGCCAGCAGGGCCTGTGCCTGCTCCATGCCTGCGGACACCAGACCCCCAGCACCCACTGGGCACATGGCCTCTTGGGAAAGACGTCCAGTTTCGTGCCAGGGGTCCCTCATCCCTGTAGCCCCCTCTGTTCCTTATGGCCATAGAAAACAGCCAGCCCCTTTGCAGCCAATGGAGAAAGTGGGGGGTTCTTCCGGCCCCTCTGCTCTGTGAGTGGGGCCTGGCACTGGGAGACAGAGAGGGCCCCTCCCAGCTCTGTCTGCTCCCCCATCACCTTCCCTGTCAGCTGCATAGCACGGGAGTACCTTCAAGGCCAAGGGCTTTGCTGGGTATAAAGGAGGGGTGGCTGGAACACCAGAGAAGAAAAGGCAAAAATCACTGCCTTTTTTACATCATAGGGAACAAAGGAAAATGTTTTCTAAGTACAATAGCCTTAGAAGGTCCAATTAAAATAGAAGGTTTTTTGTAAAAGCAGCACAAAAGTCCCCAAATGATTACAACATTGTATTCGGGGAAAAGGCAATGCCACGGGCCGTTCCCCGAGTGTCAGCTGTTCCTGCCACAGGAGCAAGCTGCAAGCACAGCGCCCAGCTCCTAGGCTGTAATCTGATTTTCCTGAGTGCTGCCAGGCACACATCTCTAGAAGCCCAGCGCTCTAGCTGCTTTTGTGAAAAGAGATGCAGGCCAGGAGCCAGAACCAGAAAATAAATACATAAAACCAGAAACCTCATGTGCTGATGCAGCTGAAAGGTAACAGATACGGGCCTTATGAAGAAGCCCTTCTCTCAGCCAGAACCACCGTCCCCAGCCCCCCACCAGATGCACTCCAGCTCACAGAGGGTGTGCGCTCCTGCCCCTGCCGAGCTGGGCTGGTGATGCAGGCCGAGTGTGCCCACACCCCCCAGGCCCCTCTCACTGCCACCTCCCACACTCCAGGGCCTTGGGGGCCATGGAGACCATCACCCACCCCTCCCAGGCTACCCAGACCAGTTCTCTCCAAGGACTTGGCTGGCTCTTCATTTACATTAGGGCCCATCTTTGTGGAGGTATCTTAGTGATGAGCTGAGGGTCGCCAGGCCAGTCCCCAGGGAGCTGCTCCTGTCCCCAAGCCTCAAGGCCACTGGCTGCCCTTTGAGACCCCCTGGATGCACAGATGCATACTGCCTGCACTGAGTGGGCAGGCAGGACCTCCGGAGGCCTGGGGCTCCTCCCTCTCTGCCCTGGCCCAGGCCTCGATGGGGTTGCTTCCTGCTTCCTATTGGATGAGAGGGACTGAAGTCACACCCATGGCCCACTGTGGGGCGGGTGCTATGGCAGGCGTCAGGAGAGGCCTCCACCAATCCACCCTCCTCAGCAGATAGCAGAGGGAGGTCTGAGTGGGGCTGCCACACAGCCCAGGGCCGGACAGTCTGGGCTGGAGTGCGCAGCTCAGCGGCCTGGGCCTCTGTCCTCATCTATAAAATGAGGGTGAAAATGGTACCCTCCTCACAGGCGTGACCTAAGGGTTAAACGAGGTTTTATGTGTAAATGCATACACTCACGTGTGTTATGAAATTACAGCAGGTTTGAATTGCACAGGTCCAGGTATACATCAGTTTTTTTCAGTAAATACATTGGAAATAATTTGGTAATTTGAGAGACTCTGGCTTTATTGTAAAAATAAAGTATATAATACATAATAGAATACAAAATATGTGTTAATCGACTGTTTATGTTATCAGTAAGGCACCAGTTGGTAGGCTATTAGTAGTTTAAGCTTTGGGGAAGTCAAAAGTGATGTGCAAATACTCTAATTTGTTATATATATATAATATATATGAATATATAGGTATACAAATACAAGTGAGATTTTAGATATAAGTTCATATGATATTATAAAAACATACAATGTTTAAGTACTTGGAACAATGCCTGGCACACGGTAAAGACCCCATAAACATTAGTCATTGTTGTTTTTGTTATTATTGTTATTATGACAAATAGGGGTTTGGAATCAGGCAGCCTGGGCTTAAAAGTCTCTATCTAGCCCCTTGAGATCCCCTGAGCAGAGGTGAATTTCCCCAACCTATCCAAGCCTTACTCAAATCAGTATTTTCAAATCAATTAGAAATTGTGGGCCTTAACCTGTGCACTTAAAAATAATTAAAATGGTAAAATTTATGTTATATATATTTTACCACAAAAATATATCTACCACATAAATTAATATTAGGTATTTATTTAGGTGTGTTGTATACTTATAATATACCAAGTATCATAAATACAGCAAACAAAGCCCATACTTCTAATGGTGGCATTACTTGCATGAGGTAAATTTATGGGATAAAAAGTGAGTTAAAGTCAGTTTTAAAAAATTTCTTGAGTAGTTGATCATGCAGGAGGTGCCAGAATATGGGCTGGTGGAACTTTGCAGAGGCCCTCACAACCATGAGTCTTGAGTCTGGCATCTACATTTGGGAGAAACCTTGGAAGTGGGATCATGGTGGCCTGGGAATCTGGGAAATGTCTGGACAAGATGCAATAGTGCCAGTGTCCCTGTGGTGATGGGATGGAGCAACTATGTGTAGTGTACCAAAGGCAAGCTGTGACCCTGAGAGTACTGCACTTGGGCCTCTGGACAAGATCTTCCGCTTGGGCAGCTGTCTAGAGGAGGATATTCTCATCATTGTGTAAGCAAGGGGCCCACCTGCCTTCTTGCCAGAACTTTCCAGAAAGCATGGTCTGGTACAATCTTATAATGCAACAGGCACTCTTGTGCTGAGCTCACCAGTCACTGCCAGGGTGACTCAAGGTGTGTTTATCAGAAAGCTCCAAGAGTGAAAGGATAGTTTTAGCATGATGCCTGTAGGTCTGAGGTGACCCAAGACTTAGGAGCTAAGGAGAGCTGTCCCTCATCACAAGGTACTCAAGTGGCCCAGGCAACCTGGCAGGGCCTCTGCCTTCCCACCAGGACAAGCCTGCTGCTTCACATGAGCCAGACAGCCTTCTGGGCAGAGGACAGGAAGAGCATGGCCATGGGTCCCCAGTGGGCACTGCAGAAGGGCCCTCCCGGCCTCAGTGCAGAGCCCAGCAGCGAAGCCTCATCTGCTGACCATCTGCCTATGCCAAGTGCCAAGCACCAGGCACATTCCCAGCTGCCCTTTGCTTTAATCCAGCTGACAAAGTCTCTAATTTGGGCCTCATGATCCCATTGTGCAGAAGTGAAATCTGAGGTTCAGAGATTCAACAACTGCCTGGTGTCCCAGCACCAGTAGGAAAAGCCATATTTGAACCTGCAGCCATCAACCACCCCCCAAAAAAACAACACTGTTTCTTCCACTGCAATAGTGCTCAAATTCCAGTGAATAATGTGCCACCATGTACCACATCTATTTACTATTTCTCTTTACATCAACTTTAAATTAACTCAGTTTTTATTTAGCCTTGTCTCAGGCAATAATAACCATGAAAATGGGTTTGATGTACAAGTTACACTTTTCCCTAGTCTCATTAACATTTTTCTATGACTGTTGAAATCATGCACACACCACCTGGCACCAGCTTACCAATCACCACACCCCCCACGCTTTGAGAAGCACCACAGTTGCGATGTGAGTAAAAGAAGAATTTTGTGTGTAAACACAAGCGGTTCTGACACTGGTCTTCAGTGATGAGTGTGTGGAGTTTGGGCTCGTCACTAGAGGTGATTCTGAGAGTACCCTGGCCAGTGGTACCCTTCCAGGGCAGCTGGGGGAAGAAATAGGCAGATGAAAAGGAGAAAAGCACCACTAAAATGTCAGCTAGTCGTGTGTGAGGACATGTTTTGTTTCCTAGGGCTACCATACACAAATAACCCAAAACTGAGTGACTGATAACAATAGACAATTATTCTCTCATGGAGGCTAGACTCCTGGAAGAAGGTGGCAGGCTGGCTGAGCTTTCTCTGAAGGCCCCGAGGAAGGACCCTGCTTTGCCTTGTCCAGCAGCCCTTGGCTTGTGGCTACATCACCCCCCATCTCTGCCTGTCTTCATATGGCCTTCCGCTTGCTCCTGGGTCTCTGTTTTCTCTTCTCAGAAGGCCACCAATCACTGAATTAGGCTCCACTTTACTCCAGTGAGAGCTCATCTTAATACATGATCTCTGCCAAAACCCTATAGTGTCAGGAAGGGACACAAGAATGGGTGGTCCCTGGTAGTGCAGGGCAGCTCCACCCTGGCAAGGAGGTGCAGGGATGCATCAAGTGCCTCTGGCCATCTCACTGCTGGCCCTGTGTGTATTCCTCTAGAACTTTCTGCCTTCATAAAGGGAGATGCTCAGACATCACCAGAGGATCTTCTGGGATTAAAATAGTATGGCTACATGACTTCAGTGGATGGAGTCTGAGGACATCCTCAACATTCGATCAGACACAGCAGATACATGACATTGGTCCCGCTGGGTCCACACTAAGCTGAGGTCATCACACAATTCACTATAAATCACACATACTCATGGGCAAAGGAGACAGACTTCCATTTATGGGAAACAGAATGAGGGAAGTCCCCAGACAGGAAGGGCACCAGGCAAGGGACACACAGGGCCTGGGGCAGGGCCCCCTGTCACTGACTCTAAAGGGGCAGGCAGGGCAGGAGCCCTGAGTGTCCTGCACTTGTTTCCTGCTGACACCTAGTGTGGTTTGGATGGTTCTGGCCTCTGAAATAAGGGAGCAGCAGGGATGCACGCCCACAGCTGCTGGGTGCTGCCCGGGGCTTGGCTGGTGTTCCTCATTCACAGGTCAGTCTTGCATGAGAGAGAACATCAGAGGCCTGGTGTGGCCCCTTGGTGTCTACAAGTTTCAAAACCATTTGAAAACAGCACCAGCATGTCCAGATGCCAGGCTCACAGGAAGCTGGCCCTGGAGTCTTGCACTGACCATTTGGGCAGCCCCTGTCCACCCTGCAGAAGCTGCCAGGAGGTGCTGGGGACACTGCAATGCCAATTGAGAGAAAGAGCAGATACTTCAGCCTGTGTGGGCTGGGGGGCCATCTGGGGGGCAGGCCCTTCTGTCACCACAGTCAGGCCGGCTTGGGCTCCTCCAGATCTATGGGCTACCTGCCACCTTCCTCCAATTAACTCAAAAGCTACCCTTGAGCAGCACCCACATTCCAGCTTTGGGTCAGGCTTTGACATACAAAGGCTCAAGTACCATCCAAGGGCTGAACCATTGACCACGTGGAGTGTAGAGATCAGACACACACACACACATGCTGTTGCATGGGTATATATAGGCAGCATACTCCAGGAACACAGAGAAGGCTGCTGCTCTTGGTGTGAAAGGGCCCCTGTAGAGCTCTCTGGGTGTCTGCCCAGCTCACAATGTCTCTGTCTGGGAACTGCCTCCTGGATCACAGAGGTGTGCTGCAGGGAGCCACGGGTCCATAGGACCTTGCATTTGTCAGAGTCTCCAGAAAAACAGAACCAATAGGACACACACACACACACACACACACACAAAACGTGATTTATTGTAAAGAACTGGCTCACATGATTATGGAGGCTGAGAAGCCCCCAAAACTCCAGTTGGCAAGCTGGAGACCCAGGAGAGCTGAAGGTGTTGTTTCAGCTTGAGTCTCAGAGCCTGCGATTAGGAAAGACGGTGTCTCAGCTCTAGGTGAAAGCCAGTAAGCTCAAGACCCAGGAAGAGCTGATGTTTCAGCCAGAGTCTGAACGCAGGAGCAGACCAACATCCCAGCTCAAAGGCAATTCAGAGGAGGCTTTCACTGTTGCTGAAGAGGAGGTTGGCCTTTTGGGTCTATGCAGGCCTTCAACTGATTGGACGAGACCCACCCACATTAGGAAGAGCAATCTGTTTTATTCAATCTATCCATTTAAATGTTAAGATCATACCAAAGCACCCTTGCAGAAACACCCTATGAAGAATAATAGTTGACCAAACATTTGTGCCCCCTGAGGCCTGGTCCAGTTGACAAAAAATTAACCATCACAGACTTTAAGGCCATCAGACTCCCTCTTCAGAGGAATTTTCCAATGGGACAGACAGACCTGCCAGTTTCTGCTTTTCAGGACTTGGGACCTGGTGAGTAGAAGGCTTTCTCCCAGATATCATCCCAGCCTCCCTCTCCACCCTTGTGTCCCCCAAGACACCACCCTCCCTGCTTCCAAATCATGATCATATGCACACCTTTTCCCTTGAATGCACTTGGGCTAAGTCTCCTCACCCACCCCACCCTCTGCGAGCCTCAGCTCCTCTCTGTCAGGCCCTCCTTCCCCCTGGGGTTCATGGGTTCCTCCCACACGCTGCTATCACTGGGCTGGGTGGGTCCCAACAATCAGGCCTGACCAGAGTCATCTGTCCTCAGCTCTGTATCACGATCAGTGTGAAACTGAAGGCTGGGTTTTTATTTGTGTCTATGTTTCTTTTTATCGCCAGCCACTCACTTCCAGAGAGACACCTTGCCACCAGCGGGGTCACTGACCTGCCAGGCTGGGGTGCCTTTCAGTGCCCCCTGCAGTGCAAGTCTGAAAATGTTAACAGACAGAGTAAATGCCCTGCAGGTTGGAGTCTCCAGGAATGCCAGGATAGGAGAAGAAAGCAGAGAGTGGGGAGGGTGGCCTATACTGCATCCTCATGGCTGTATTTTTGTGGGGCACATGGAAATCTGGGGAGGGATCACAGCACCATGTTCTCCAGAGCATCTCTGTGGCCACAAAAAGCAAGGGGGACCAAATGCTCACTGGTCCTGTCCTATACCGCTGGGTTACCTCAGTTATAGGCCCCTGTTAGATTATTACCCCCATCAGATGCTCGAGGAGACTGAGGCTCAGACAGGCTAAGCAACATGCCCCAAGCACTTTGGGTTAGGCCTGGGCGGTCACAGGAGGAGAACGTGCATCCAGGCCCGGGTTATGCACCCACACTGTGCTGCGTGCAAGGGGAAAGGATGAGGAGGGGCTGGGACAGCAAGTTTATGCCGATAACCAGCCCTGCCCACTGAGCTGGGATCCTTGTTACAGTTCTGCAGACACACAGGCAAGCTAGTCCAGCTGGAAGTCCTCGAATGTTTGCCAAATAAGCATTTGCTGCAACCAACACACCAACAGCTACCTGCGTGCACTCCTCCCAACAGCCCACGTGTTTGCTTTGGTTCAATATGTCTGCCTGGTGGACAAACACTTCAGAGGGAAAACACTTCTGCTCAGCAGTATCTGTAGCAGCTTCAGAGTCCAGAGGGCCATGAGGTGCTCCCATACCAGCCCTGTGGCCAGCTGTGCAAAGTCAGAGGTTGATGGGCCTTCACCAAGACTGCTGCTTGGCAGTGACCTTCTTGCAGAGAAGATTCCACAGACAGGCAAGGACAGGCCACCAAGTTAACATGCAGGCAAAAGGTGAGGCCAGGGTGGGCCCTGAGCAGGTAACACAGGGGAGTGCAAGCTGAGGAAGCCGCAGCTGACAGGTGGTGGAGGGGTGACTTGGGAGGCGGGGTCCAAGAGCAGCGAAGGTCTAGGTCCTAGGCAGAAGGAAAGCAGAGCCAGGGAAAGTTAGGGATGGAGCTGAGGGGGCCAGCCCAGGCTCCCACAGTGCCCTCACTCAGCCCCCAGTGAGCAAAAGAAATAAATGCCCCACATCAGAAAATGTCTGTGCATCCTGAACAGACTCACTTGGAGTGGAGGTAGATTCCAGTCTGGGAAGCAGGACTCAGTGCAACACATTCTTTTGTGTTAATTCCCATGTGGTAGCAGGTGCAGGAGACAGAGGGGTGTCCACAGTGTTGCTGTCTGGCAGTGGCCCCAGGCTACCAAAACCAGGACAGGCTGTAGCTGGGAGGCTGGGGAAGGCGGGGTAGCAGGCAGTCGTGGCAGAGTGGGGGGTGCTCCCCGTGCACCCCAGTGTGCTGGCTTCGGCGAACGGCCAGGGAGGAAGTCGTGGCAGAGGTGCTTCTGAAAATTGTTTTTTATGGTAGAATACACCACTCACTTCATGAAATGTATACATATCGAAGAGCACATAAAATGCATCTGAGCAGTTTAAGGAATAATTATGAGCGCTAGAGTGTCCACGCCCAAGTTAAAAAAAAAATAACAGCGTCCTACAGAAGGTCCTGGCGTGCCCCCCAGTGCCTTCCACCTTCCCTTGGCCGGAGGTGAGGACCTCCAGACTCTCACATTAGCCATTCTCCTGCTGCCCTTTACACGTTTACTACAAGTAATGATCCCTAAAACTATTGCTGTTTTGAGAAAGTGAGCAGTTTGGGTTTGTGCAAAGAAAGGACAACATGGCCCCACTAGACAGAAGCCCCGGGAGAAGGTCAGATGGGGCAGAGTGCCTGCACCGGAGGCTGGCTTCAGCTTCCCTGATAACGACCCAGTTACCTGGTATCCTGGGAACTGGGCCAAGAGGAAGCCGTTCTGCCAGAACATCGGCTCCAGCAGAGAAGCCCAGGCCACGAGGTGCAAGGCAGTGGTGCGAGGCCACTCATGTCTGGAGGAACCCACCACCTCCTTCCCACCCAGATGCTTCCTCCTCCTTTCCTGGTGGTGGGGGTATGGGCCAGAGGGGACCCCACCCACGGATGCCTGCCCCGAGCGCATGGGGTGGAGGAGCAGGCCGACTGAGTGCCTCAGTCCCAGCAGGGAGCTGGAGGAGCATAGGGACTAATTGAGACCCATGAGGAGCAGACGGGTCTCTCTGAGGCACCAACAGGGAGGGCTGTGATGCGTGATGAGGCCCCCAGAGTGATGAGGCCTCCACCCTCGGGGGTGGAGAGCTGGAGACTTCCAAGAACAAAAATGTCTACTCTAGCATTCAGTTTGTAGTCCCCCAATTAATTCCTCTGATGAAGATTATAGGGATACCTTCTATGAGCCAGGCATTCCACACTCACCATGCAGTAAAGCGTGTCACATACACACATGTCTCTTGAACAGGAGATTTTGTAGGACATCAGAGAGGGGCTGGGGTTTGTCTCTGGGTTTGAGCCCCCAGGCAACGTGGGAGACCAGCCACACGTGCTGCGACCCAATGGTGGCAGAGGCTGGGAGCCAGACTGTAGAGCCCTGTGAAAACTGCCAGGATTTGGGGTGCTCTTACTAAAGGTGGAAGGGCCATATACCCCGTTCCTTAGCACCTGTCTCCTCCCTCACTCTCCCACCACCACCCATAGGTTCTTGTTCTGTACATCTCTGGGCCAGCTGACTTCCTGGGTTGCCATTAGTAACCCAAGTACAGAAATCCAGCTCATGTTTCTGTGTCCCCACCCATGCTTGGTACAATTTTTATCACAGCTATGAGTCAGGAAGAATTTTTTGAAAGGATACCCATGACATATTTCATCATGATATAGCTTTGCTTCAAAGGGGACATTCGCTGAGAATTCATCTCCTCAGTTCTTGAGAGGAATCAGGACATTCTAAGAGCAAGAAGGTGGACAGCAGAGAGTTGATATCTTTCCTATGGTGAAAGTAATTATTAGGGTGTGCATTCCTCTAGTTGTGCGGCCAATTAATTTCCTCTAATTATCATTCTGCCAGTATTAAAGAAGGAAGACATTAACATGTAATGAGTGTCTACTGCATGCATTATATAAATCTTTGCCTCCTCCTGGATTAAAAAAATATGCATGTATCACTGAAGTTCTGAAGTACACTCAAGCCCTGGGAAGTTCTCTGATTTTTCGTGAGGCTGTGAATCCAAACTGTGTGATTTTAAAATGAGAAATTCTCATGTCTCCCCTCGAACAACAAAATTTACCAAATAACAATGACAACCTTCAGATTAATAAATGTTACTCAAATGCCTGATAAATATTAAATGAGCTCAAAACAAGTTATGAGGTTGGAATCATTCTCCTCAAATTGACAAGGGAAAGGGGGAGACTGGAGAGAATTCTGGGGGCCAGGAGGGACCTGAGACCAGATGGGACTTCTTACAGGGACCCAAACACGGCCACCAAGATGCACAGACTCCTCTCAGGAGTAGCACCAGATAGCTAATGAAACTAAGAACTCCAACATTTTACATAATTAGCAAATAAGGATCACACCTCCAATTCCTCCTTCAAATTCTAATTTTGGACCCTGGGCTTAAAAAAAGAAATCCATGCATTTCTAAAACTTAGTGTTTAGCCACTCTGGGGGTTAACATTCCCTAGGATGGAGGAAAAAAAAAAAAAGGATAAAAAATTGCTTTCCCCGTGCACCCCAGTGTGCTGGCTTCGGCGAACGGCCAGGGAGGAAGTCGTGGCAGAGGTGCTTCTGAAAATTGTTTTTTATGGTAGAATACACCACTCACTTCATGAAATGTATACATATCGAAGAGCACATAAAATGCATTTGAGCAGTTTAAGGAATAATTATGAGCGCTAGAGTGTCCACGCCCAAGTTAAAAAAAAAATAACAGCGTCCTACAGAAGGTCCTGGCGTGCCCCCCAGTGCCTTCCACCTTCCCTTGGCCGGAGGTGAGGACCTCCAGACTCTCACATTAGCCATTCTCCTGCTGCCCTTTACACGTTTACTACAAGTAATGATCCCTAAAACTATTGCTGTTTTGAGAAAGTGAGCAGTTTGGGTTTGTGCAAAGAAAGGACAACATGGCCCCACTAGACAGAAGCCCCGGGAGAAGGTCAGATGGGGCAGAGTGCCTGCACCGGAGGCTGGCTTCAGCTTCCCTGATAACGACCCAGTTACCTGGTATCCTGGGAACTGGGCCAAGAGGAAGCCGTTCTGCCAGAACATCGGCTCCAGCAGAGAAGCCCAGGCCACGAGGTGCAAGGCAGTGGTGCGAGGCCACTCATGTCTGGAGGAACCCACCACCTCCTTCCCACCCAGATGCTTCCTCCTCCTTTCCTGGTGGTGGGGGTATGGGCCAGAGGGGACCCCACCCACGGATGCCTGCCCCGAGCGCATGGGGTGGAGGAGCAGGCCGACTGAGTGCCTCAGTCCCAGCAGGGAGCTGGAGGAGCATAGGGACTAATTGAGACCCATGAGGAGCAGACGGGTCTCTCTGAGGCACCAACAGGGAGGGCTGTGATGCGTGATGAGGCCCCCAGAGTGATGAGGCCTCCACCCTCGGGGGTGGAGAGCTGGAGACTTCCAAGAACAAAAATGTCTACTCTAGCATTCAGTTTGTAGTCCCCCAATTAATTCCTCTGATGAAGATTATAGGGATACCTTCTATGAGCCAGGCATTCCACACTCACCATGCAGTAAAGCGTGTCACATACACACATGTCTCTTGAACAGGAGATTTTGTAGGACATCAGAGAGGGGCTGGGGTTTGTCTCTGGGTTTGAGCCCCCAGGCAACGTGGGAGACCAGCCACACGTGCTGCGACCCAATGGTGGCAGAGGCTGGGAGCCAGACTGTAGAGCCCTGTGAAAACTGCCAGGATTTGGGGTGCTCTTACTAAAGGTGGAAGGGCCATATACCCCGTTCCTTAGCACCTGTCTCCTCCCTCACTCTCCCACCACCACCCATAGGTTCTTGTTCTGTACATCTCTGGGCCAGCTGACTTCCTGGGTTGCCATTAGTAACCCAAGTACAGAAATCCAGCTCATGTTTCTGTGTCCCCACCCATGCTTGGTACAATTTTTATCACAGCTATGAGTCAGGAAGAATTTTTTGAAAGGATACCCATGACATATTTCATCATGATATAGCTTTGCTTCAAAGGGGACATTCGCTGAGAATTCATCTCCTCAGTTCTTGAGAGGAATCAGGACATTCTAAGAGCAAGAAGGTGGACAGCAGAGAGTTGATATCTTTCCTATGGTGAAAGTAATTATTAGGGTGTGCATTCCTCTAGTTGTGCGGCCAATTAATTTCCTCTAATTATCATTCTGCCAGTATTAAAGAAGGAAGACATTAACATGTAATGAGTGTCTACTGCATGCATTATATAAATCTTTGCCTCCTCCTGGATTAAAAAAATATGCATGTATCACTGAAGTTCTGAAGTACACTCAAGCCCTGGGAAGTTCTCTGATTTTTCGTGAGGCTGTGAATCCAAACTGTGTGATTTTAAAATGAGAAATTCTCATGTCTCCCCTCGAACAACAAAATTTACCAAATAACAATGACAACCTTCAGATTAATAAATGTTACTCAAATGCCTGATAAATATTAAATGAGCTCAAAACAAGTTATGAGGTTGGAATCATTCTCCTCAAATTGACAAGGGAAAGGGGGAGACTGGAGAGAATTCTGGGGGCCAGGAGGGACCTGAGACCAGATGGGACTTCTTACAGGGACCCAAACACGGCCACCAAGATGCACAGACTCCTCTCAGGAGTAGCACCAGATAGCTAATGAAACTAAGAACTCCAACATTTTACATAATTAGCAAATAAGGATCACACCTCCAATTCCTCCTTCAAATTCTAATTTTGGACCCTGGGCTTAAAAAAAGAAATCCATGCATTTCTAAAACTTAGTGTTTAGCCACTCTGGGGGTTAACATTCCCTAGGATGGAGGAAAAAAAAAAAAAGGATAAAAAATTGCTCTAGAAAGTGAAATTGGATTTTAAAAAATCGATGAAGTAACCAGGCTATTAAAATGGAAAATAAGTCTGATGTCATTCTGAAAAATAAAAGGCATGAGTCACCTGCAGAGCCACTTAATTAAGCAAAGGAAGTAATGAGAGCTTGAGTGATTTCCCGACTAATGTCAGTATTTCAAAATGAGTGAGGCGTTGGGCCAGGAGCATTGCTTCTAATCAGAGCTAAATCGCTCTTTTGCCCTCAGGACATCTTGGTACATTTGAAGTTGATGAAGAGCAAAAAGGAATGTATTAAAAATTATCCCAACTGTACCCAAAACAGGGGAAAAAGTGAGCTTTGTACTCCAGGCCCCCAGGCAGTGTGTGATGAGGGCTACGGCTCTTGCACTGGGCCATTTGGGGCAGGACGCCACTCCGGGTGGGGAGCTGTGCCCCCTTCACACAGTCAGGGGATGGCATGTCAAGGGTTTCTTGAAGTCCCTGGGGGATGTAGCAGGTTCCAATTCCAGCCTGTAGCCTTGAGAGGGGTGACTGCAAGGTTTGGGTTTGAACAGAAGTGTCTTGGAACAGGCAGGCAGCTCTGCAGGACGTGTCCGTTCTCCATCTGAGCCAGTGTGGGGTGGCTGCAGGGGGGCCTCGCCTCCTGCTTCTGCCAGGCAGAGGACCTGCCACCACCAGCCCAGCCGGAGGGTATATCTGGGGTGCCCTCCCCAAAGAGCAACCATGCTAGAAACGGCCCAGTCCCACCCCAGGGAAGCCTGGGGCCACCTGAACTGCACGGGGCGCTCTGAGTCTGGGTCCCTTGTGCCACATGCGGAGGAGCTCCTGAGGTCACTACCAGGTCCCAACCCGGAGGGCTCAGGGAGAGCCAGGGCCTGTCCCCGGAGACCTGGTGCTCAGGGCAAACTCCTCACCGGCTGCATCTTTGTGCCTGTGATGTCCATCCGGTGATTGCTGTATATTCATTTTATCTGTTATTTTACCTTGCTAATAGCATAAAAACGTGGAAATTTTAACCCCTAAGTCTGACCTGGCTACAGGGACAGACTGGACTTGCTGGGAAGAGGTGAGCACCTAAAGGGAGTGTGACTGTCAGCTCAATGCAGTGATGACGGGGTCCTGGATGCACAGTGAGTGGCCTCTTTACCAGAGCGTGGTGTCTGCTTCCCTTGATCAACAAGACAGTCTGTTCCCAACAAGCTAGTGGTTAAAACCAAAAATTGGCCACAACACGCAGCTGCAGATCTTAGGGAGCATCCTAAACCCTGGGGACAGCTCAACACTTGCCCCATGTTAACATGGATAATCTCCGTCCCTAACATCAACCAATAGCAGCAGTGATTTTCCTCCACTTAGTATTTATTCCTCATCTCGAAATTGCACTTTCATTTTCACTTTAATTTTCTGAGTGTTTCTCCTTCCTCCCATCTCCAAATAAGATTGCTCAACAAAGACACAGCAAATAAATATTTGGCGTTCACAGTTTTAACCAATTAGCTGACTGAGAACCAGGTAAACTAATCCTAAACCTCTTTTGAGGATTGTCCTGAAGGCAACATGCATTTATCTATGCCAACAGAGCATTGGGTTGTAATGCCGGGAGCCTTGGAAATAATATGATGTAATAAGGATATTTGGGCAGGGGTGGAATCTAACCCATCAGCATAACCCCAGTAACACTGATTATTCTCACTTGAAACATCTCTCCTAGAGTCCACCAGGGTTGATGGGAGATGGTAGTGCTGCATCCAGGTGGAATAGAGCATGGCCTTGGGACCCAGCACTGCAGGTTCATTTCCCTGTGCATCTGTTTTCAGCTGTGTGACCCCAGGCTGTCTACCTCCCCTTTCCAAGTCTCAGTTTCCTCATCTGTCAAATGGGACCAGCAATTGAGCTTTCTTTGATAGGTCGTGAGTGAGACCCCTGGGACAGCCCTGGGAGGACTTCAGCATGGTTCCCAGGACAGATATGTGCATGACTCTTATGAATAGCTACTGTATCAACTTTTTTGTTCTAATGCCCTTCTTGTTTTAGAGAGTGGGTGGAGAAGGCAAGGGAGGAAGTATGAATTGAACTTTAATAGGTGTTGGTGGGCTCTGATCTGGCCTGCGGTCCATGTATACAAAACATCACGCAAAATCACCTCCATCTTTGCATGATTTCAATGATCAGTGCAAGACAGAACATGGATCAGGACAGACCGGGAACCACAGTAACATGTTCTCTGCAAACTGCAGCAAGTGCTTCTCCAGGGGGCAAACTCAGGATTGTCCTAGCCCCCCTGCAGGCGACTGAGGAGCAGCAAGACTGATGGGGGGCACGCTCCTCAGACGTCCACCTGGCCTTCCCTGCTAGCCTCCGCGGACAATGCAGCATGCCTGGGGTGGGGAGGGGCGGTGATACTGAGACTTATAGTAAGAACTATATATTTGGCTAACCCCACCCCATCCCCGCCTTCCTGACACTTTTTCTAAAGCCCTTGGAATTTCTAGGGAGTCTAGGAAGAAGAGCGAGAAAGGTGTCTTTTGTTATGTTAATGAGGTGACTTTGGGAAAGCCTTAGATAACCTTAGGACTGGGCTGGTTTCCACGGGAGCCAATCCTGTGATCAGAGGATTGGCAGTTTCAGTCCCCCAGCCTCCTCCAGGAAGGGAGAAGGGCTGGAGGTGGTCAATGATTCCGTTTGTATTGAAGTCTCCATAAAAATCCAATTCAGAGAGCTTCCCAGGAGGTGGGCACAGGAAATCTGGGGCAGAGCAGCATGGCTGGAGAGGACTTGGGAACCGCGCCCTGTCCCCATACCTTGATACGTGCACCCCTTCCTCAACTGCTCCTGAGTCACATCTTACAACAAACCAGTAACCTAGTACATAAAATAGTTCTCTGAGTCCTCTGAGCTGCTCTAGCAAATAAATTCAACTGGAGGAGGATGTCATGGGAACCTCTGGTTTATAGCTCTTCGGTCCAAAGCACAGATGACAACTTAGACTTTAAACCAGCGACTGCAGTGAGGGTATGGAGGGCAGCCTGCTCAGACCGAGCCCTCAGCCTGCAGAACCTGGTGCCTCTGCAGGGAGCTAGTGTCAGAACTGAGTTGAATTGTAGGACACCCAATTGGTGTTGTGTGGGAACCCCTGCTTGGCCCCCACCTCCGCCACGCATTGGAATTGGGTACAGGAACCCAAAAGGGAGCAGAGGCATTCGGCGCAGGGACTCAGGGCCTTTTAAGAAACTCATTCCTGAGATCCACACCCCATCTGTGTGGACAGCCCCGTGAGAGCCACTCTCCTGCTGGATGTCTGACGATGTGAGCTGGCCTTGAATTCCAGTTACCTCTGCAAAGTTCATGGAGGTGAACCTGGCTGTGCTGTGGGAACAAAGTTCAAATGTGACTTTGAACTGAATTCCGTCAGTTACTGCAGTTGAGAGAAAAACCCAGTCAGTGGAGGCCATTCTCCACTGGGGCAGCAATTCCCAGCCTGCAGTTCCTAATCCCCAGGAAGGCATCTCCCTGTCCAGGCCAATGTCCCTTTGGGTCCGCACACTGTCCCCCGCAACCCCTTCACCATTCACATCCTCACTGCTGGTTCCACCTGACCAAGAGGGACTGGAGCTCAAACCTGGCTCTGCTGTGCCTTGGGCAAGGGGAGTGTGGCGCCCACTTCCTCATCAGCTAAGAGGAGATGTCTATTTGCAGGCATGATAGGCCTGCCCTGGACTCAGCCCACTTCCCCTCCCACTCCTGATTGTGGGCCTGGCCGGACCCCTCTGCTGGAACAATTCCCTGTGTGACTGACCTCAGGCCCACTGTTGCAGCGCTACCACAGGGAACTGTGCCCGACCCTGGCCCACTCGCCATGCACCCCCACCCCGGGCCAAGTGCCCTTCTCTGCCAGCTGGGCCATGACCTGTCTCTTGGCTTCCCACCTGCCTTTGACCTGGCACCAGCTCCAACGTGCAGGCTGCTGAGACCAGGAACAGGTTGCACCTGTCACTCATTCCAGGAGAACCATTTCTATGTCCCTGTGATCCACAGCAGAAGGAGAAGGGATGACATCACCAGATCCCACGGTCTCTGCAAGGGGGTGGATGTCATGGTCCATGCAGGCTGCACTGGGGAGCAGGCCCCACTTGGCCTCAGCAGGGAGGGCTCACAGCTGCACTTGCTGAGGCTTGGAGAGGAAGGCAGCAGGGCTGTCTGCTCTTTGTGGAGAGCTGAGGAAGCCT